GAAGGTTCCGTGTTTAATTCCCTGCCCGGGGTCTTTCCGTATGTAGTTTGCATGTTCTCCTTGAGCATGTGTGGGTTCTCTCCGGGTACTCCAGCTTCCTCCCACAGTCCAAAAAACATCACTGTTAGGTTAATTGGCTTCTCCAAATTCTCCTTCGGTGTGAGTGTGTGCGTGAATGGTTGTTTGTCCTGATTGTCTCTGTGTTGCCCTGCAATGGACCTGCGACCTGTCCAGGGTGTACCCCACCTCTCGCCTGTAGACAGCTGAAGATAAGCACCAGCACCTCTCGCAACCACAGCAGGGATAAATATGACTGTATTTGATTCTTTGTTGGGTGGTTAGATTCGAAAGAAATATCCTGTGACTCCCCTTTGTTGTGTAGTGCACTTCTTTTTTTTTGCTTTATTCCCTTGCTTCAGTCCACTTGCTGTCATAGCATAATTTTTCTTTTGCAGCATTTTTCTGCTGCACGTTTTTATGAGGTTGAGTTTCTGAGTCTGCGTCGTTTGAATGTTAGCAGTGCCTTATATAGTTTGCAGTGTTTTACAGGTTTGCACCTGTTCCCCACTGTACAGAACACATATAGCTGACTATTAAAATGTGGACACAAAAAGGTGTTAAATAAACATACAGAGAGACATCCAAAGCATTTGCAACAGTCTGAGGGCCACAGTTCCCAACACTCTGCTAACAATTTCATTATTTCCTACAGCTAACCTGCAAATACAATGAATTACAAAAACACTTAGATTTTTTTCTTTTGGTCACATTACAACCAAAACCGTTTACCGGTAATTATGATTTTTTTTTTAAAGGCAATGCAGGTTTGGGTCACACTAATTTCTTTTAACACAAGTCCCTCATTTCCATTCAGTTTATTTATGTAGTTAAATTATAAGGCTAAAAATATTAATTAAAGATTTCCCACAAAGGTTTAGCTAGAAAATGTTATCTATCTTTCTTAAAGCTTCTGTCTTGCAACCCCATGTGTTTGTCTAGATATATGAATAAAACAGGTGATTATTGCCACCTGTAGAGCACAACCATACACATTTAACATTTCTGCAGCCCCTTCTGTGTCTCTCTTGACTAAAAGCCTGCCTCACCTGTGTCTCTCTTGCTTTATTTTCTGTCTTTCGATGATTCTGGAGCTTTTTCTACATCACTGTAATGCTATGAAATTGTTTTACACTAATCTCCTAACTGATACATTTGAAACATGGGATCCATATCGATTGTAATCAGTCCAACAACTAATTCTGCAGCTGAAGGATGCAACAACAGAAGAGTGAATGCTGGGTGTGACCTTAAGTAGAATGTGCTGTTTTTAAGGTGTGCTCTCTTTTACAAGCTGGTTATTGCATTTTTTATTTTTTATTTTTTTTAGAAGTGGGGTTTTTAAAACAAGAGAATATTACCCAAAAAGCTTCCATCATTTTTATATCTGCAAGATGGTGAATAACTTCAGTAGTTCTCCCATTCTTAGGACTTGTGCAGGTTGCCTATGTTGATCTAGCCGGATGACAGGCAATTAGACTGAGAAGAAGAATTGCTGTCTTCCTGTTATTCATAGCGCACAGAGTTGTGCAACGGTTTGGAGTTTCAAAAGGTTTTTCAATGAGGACTTGAACCAAGAGTGGTTTCCTTTGCTCAAGTGGATTATCACTGACGCTTTTCCCAGAATGATAAGAAATTGAGGGAAAAAGTGTGTTTGTAAAAGAAGTGCAAACACAATTCGAGAAGATTGAGGAAGGGGGGAAATACAAAGAAGTGAAGTGAAAGAGGAGGGGCACACTGAAAGTGGAGGAGTGTGTATGGTTTTGTGTATTTTGTGTGTGTGTGAAGGATGGTTATGATGTTGAGCCTTTAGTACACCGTGTACTCCAACTTTGCTGGAGGAGCTTTTATAAGCTGTTGAGTGATTGATGTATGTCTCTGCAAGACAACACTGTGTACTGTTATTTAAGCAGCTCTGTAAAAACACTTTTACACTGTGACAGCAGCAGGAATTCCAATACACAAAACAAGATATGCACATTATCATATCTGCAGGTAGTTGACAATGAGCTACTAACATAGTGTGAATATTACTTTTTATCTACATTTAAAGAGGCTTGCAGTTTATATTTCAAAACTTTCAAAACAGACATTTTGTTCAATTAAAATCTCTTTTTTGTAAGTGATATAATGCTAATCTGTTAAGCATTATGTATTTCAATTTAACACCTTTTTAAATCTTTGTATGCATTTTTATTTCTGTTAAAGAGGCATTTTGTACATTTTTACAGAAAAATAAATTTAAAATAGCCTTTATATTTAACCTTTTGCAGCTAAAACATTGTTAACTGACAACTCAGTAGTTCAGCGCTGACGCATCTATAAGCTTAAAGGTATAGTGGAGGATGTTATTTTTTTCTGGGTAGATCATCTAAATAAGTGGTCCTCCTAATTGTCAATCATTCTGGTAATATGTTTACGTAAGGCCGTCCTACATGCTCGTCTCTATTTTCTCTTATGATGAGTCTGACAAAGTGGGAAAATTGCAAACCTTCTTTTAGAAAGTAAGCTTGTATGAGTGATGCAAACAGCAACTTTTAAACAGAGCGGGCACGAGAAGAAATGGGTTTGTGCATGCCCTCGCACACATTTTATAGGCGTTCCCTGTTGGAAGCATGTACAGGGTTGTACATGCGCATTTTGGAGAGGGCGGGTCTTTTCAAAAATTAGCAAAAATCTTCCAATATACATTGAAGTATACTATTTTCCAGAATTAACTTAGGGTCGGAAGTTCACGCACATCCATGTTAAATGGGTCAGACCTAGCATACAAATTAAGCATTATATTCAAGATGAATTTTGGGGATACTCTGAGTCCGGCATTTAGCTCGACTTTGACACCAATGGCAACTCCACATAATTTAAAAAAAATAGGAAAAAAACTTGTTCAGTGAACTGTGTTGAGCCACAAGTAGCAGCATCATTAGAAAACTCGTAATGCCTCTTCTATGTTTAATATCACTGTCAAATTATTGCCAAATAATGAAACTATTTTGTTTTTTATTTAGTTCTCAGGATAGCTTTCACTATACCTGTAGACTTTATATTCAAATATATGTATAATCTTTATGAACATTAACTATTTTTTCATTGGTCAAACACTGATCATCTGCTTCTGACTGCCAGACACCCAGAGATTCTGTCCCTTAGTATGTTTCTTTTCCACTGGGACACCAGCTGACACGAGACACACACACACACACACTCTGCCCTTAGTCCCCTGAGGTTGAGGTCTGCACAATGTCATTATCATCCAATGGATCGTGCATGGTCACTGCCCATTCAGCTCTGCTGACGTGCCTTTTGTGCTCTGCAATTCTTCTCACTGCAGCCCTCTCCCACCTCCACCAAAATCCCCTTCTTAAACTATGTCCTACTAACACCCCCACCCCACGCCGCCAATCCACTGCAGCACATATGTATTCCCTTCCCCCAATCCAGCACCCCTAGGTCCGCCCTGCCTTGCTCCACACTTTTCCAAAACAAACCAGCTGTCCTGGTCGGTTGCGCCCCCCGGGGGAGTAAACAGGTGTCGAGAGGGCCACAGGGCCTTAACATATGACACATGACAACACGCTGCTCTAGCCTTCTCCTTCAACCTGCCGACACACACAGGCCAATGACACGAGAGAGGCTGGGATTTTACTGCAGGGGATTAGATGATTTGTATGGAAAATAAGTCTGATGCTAAATTCACACTGTCTGTTGCATGGAGGTTAAGTGAAAAGAAATGTCTTTCATAATGCTTTTAAGGTGTTTGAATGTTGAAAGGTGTAAATTATTAATGTTGGCACTCATTGTAAAAATATATAGTACAGGGTTACCAGATGAAAGGAGTGGCATCTGTCCTTGTGGCCCTGAAATATTTTTAGCACAAACTACACTATGTATTGTGTGTGTGAGGGGTGTGTGTGTGTGTGTGTGTGGTGGGGGTGTATGGGTGTTAGAGTTATGCTCCAGAATGCACATACCTGCCATTCTGGGTTAAAGTGGAAGGTTTATCTGATATCTGATGGTCACATCCACCCTTTGTGATTCTGCAACTGCCTGATTAGACTTAAGGATGAGGATATGCGGAGTGAGCGGCACTTTTACAACTTTTTAACTCTTTCAAAAGGTAACTAAAATTACTACACTGGCACTAAAGGGTAGCTTTTGAAGTGTAGAGAACAAAAGCTGTTCCTTACCCAACAATCCCACTATCACCCTCTCCGTGGTGAACCCATTGCTCCTGCTGCACTCTATTGTACATCTGGCACTTGACTTCTTGACACTGCCTTTGCATGTGTCCCTGCAAGAGGGGGTGCTTATGCATATAAGAGTGTGTGTGTGTGTGTACATCTGCCTCTGCTATAGCTGTAATTTAGAGGCTGAACCAAGTTATAAACTAAATTGCCACCTTGTTGAAGTAGAAGATTCTCTGTTTGTACATTCAGCAAGCCAAGACAAGTCTGTGTGTCATCTTCTGCTTATGTGCATTGACTTTTATCAACTTCAAATCTTACAGCAGCTATTTTTTTTTCACCCACCCTGAGACAAACAACCTTTAAGAAATTACTAGAAAGTATTTTGGAGGAAATGTAGACACAGATCCAAGTGTGTTTATGTAATAAACATTGTTTTATTATGCAATATCTTCTGGATTGTCTAAATTCTGATTTTTTTTTTTTTTTTGTCTCTAGGTGTCCTATAGTCTCCAAAAGAAAATAAATATTCAAGAGAATTGTTTCTTTATGCTGAAAGCAATAAACTGTTTACTCAGTGTTACATAAGTAATTCCAGTAGGTGAGTGATTGTGACCGCTAATTTAGTCAGCCCTACGGACGTTCATCAGTATGGGGAGAAAAGGCAGGGATTGTGCAACATCAGCACAGCCCATTTGGCCAGCTGCTGCTCAGACTGGGCTGCCGCAGGTCTGCTGTGTTCAGTCTGAAGTCTGAATGGAGACTCTCAGCAGCGGCTCCCGTATTTGCATTTGATGCAGACTTCAGTCGCGCGACCGCAACACCGCGGAGGCTTCTGAACTTCACAAAACTTTGCCGTTAGCAGAGCTAACCATTTGCGGATAACTGAGTGCTTAGAGCACTGCATTGATTTTTGGTACTCGGATTTAAAAGCCGGGTTTAGACAATTTTTTAGTTCGGAATTGCTTAAAAAGCGCAGCGACGAGCGAGTCCAGACGGACTACTTTCTGTGGCGTAGCAGCATAAACTCCAAGGAGCAACAGACTACCGGTGCGCAGTCGGCTGTTCAGCTCGATTCAAGGCGAAGGAGAGCGCCGAAAACGGGGGAGTTTAAACCAAGAGATGCGCTACAGTGGCGTTTAATAAACACAAAGACCCATTTTGGGGGGGCGTTATTTGTTTGTTTTTTATTTTCTGTTGAATAAAACCCCAATATATGCAGCTTGGACCCTCTTAGGGGTGCTATTTCTGGGGACTTTTTCGACACTGGACAGACTTGACCGAACTCTGAAAGATGTCAATTCTGCCTTTCACTCCCCCCATCGTTAAAAGACTTCTGGGCTGGAAGAAGGGAGAGCAGAACGGCCAGGAGGAGAAATGGTGCGAGAAAGCGGTTAAAAGTCTCGTGAAGAAGCTGAAGAAAACTGGGCAGCTAGATGAACTGGAGAAAGCCATCACCACGCAGAATATCAACACAAAATGCATCACTATACCGAGGTAAGGGGCTTTTTCCGGACCCAGAGGATGTGTGGGGACCGTAAAGTTAGCAAGTCGGCTTTTAACGTTTAATTACAGCCTCGTTACAGCAAAATAACCCCCTTTCTCTTAAGTTTGAGCGACCGGTTCCACTTTAAACAACAATATGTGTGAGGGAAGTTGAGCTCACCAACTCCTTTCAAACTCTGATTTCCTTTACGTTTAATAAACATCAACATGGAGGCTGCGCTGAAGCTAGCTACGGTGTGTGCAAACCAACTGGACTCTTGTGTGGGTTTAAAGCACGTTATATATTCATTAAAAGCTTTATCTGACGGACGAAATCGTGCTACAAACACACGTTTTAGTCAGTGCATAACTAGCCAATGGGACACATGCAATGCATAAGCAGTAATGTAGTCCCAGTTATATAACTTGGCCTTAATCTGGGACGCTTTCTACCGTTGTTAAGTGCGTAGGCGAGCCTGTTGAGAGGTTTTTTTCAGCTTCTCCCTGCAGCTATTTGCCTGTCAATACATCATTTATAATAAACAATAAAGTTAAATTACTGGCTCAGTAGTCATGGTTCACCCAAAGTAACAAAACAACAACAGAACATAATGAAATTGCATAAAGTATATATATTTTCCTAATATTTTTGGAGATTATAGGAAGTAGGCCACATAAACTGGAATTAGTGTAATTTTAGGGATAACTCCTGTTATTTTAGATGGTAATATAAATGATAAGGGAAAAAAATCTCCCATTATTCATCAGTCTTTTGAGCTTAAATAATCTCTGCTTATAGTCTTCAGCCTCACAAACACTGTAATTAAAAGTACCTGTTACCAGTCGAGCTTAGTTGACTGAATAACTCCTATTGTGCTATCAGGCCTTTGGGTTTACAGGTCAATCTTTTATTTTTTTTTCATTATGAAGAGGTTTCTAGTTAAATAGCTACATGATCATATCGCTGATCCCTGTAGTAATAATATAATTGAACTTTATTGATCTCACATTGGAGAAATTTACCTCTGCATTTAACCCATCCCCTTGGGGAGCAGTGGGCTGCCATTGTACAGGGTCCGGGGAGCAGTAGGGGGTTAAGGGTCTTGCTTAGGAACCCAGAGTGGAGGGAGTGGGATTCAAACCGGATACTTGCAACCTTCACAGAGCACAAATGCACTGCACTAACCACTAGGTCAACACTCCCCTTATTAGCAACAAATAGTGAAAACAAAATTTTATGCTAATTATGGTCATACTGTGGCCTGTTATTAATTACAAATTAGGCCCACGTGTAAATAGGTAAACATAAGTCTTATCCAGTTCAGTTTTAATAATTTTTCCACTATCAATATTCAATTTAATTCAGTTTATTTATATAGCGCCAATTCACAACACATCATCTCAAGACACTTTACAATTCATCAGATCATACAGTCAAATTGATTAAAAGTTTTCTATCTAAGAAAAACCCGTTGATTGCATCGACCTAATTGACTCAAAGGCAATCACACTGAGCATGTTTATAGCGACAGTGGAGAAGAAAAACTCCCTTTTAACAGATAGAAACCTCCAGCAGAACCAGGTTCAGTGTGAGCGGCCATCTGCCGAGGAGGACTGAGGTTCAAATAGACAGAAGCAGAGGTAAAACGCCAAAAGCAACTGTAAAAGACGGCCCATCCATGAAACACATAGTCAGGCAGATGAGCTTCGAGCCAGCTCCCATGTCAGAGGATGAAGAGAGCACATCCAGCCAGTCACAGTCAGAGAAACAGGACTACACTGAAAAACAGGCCGATCTCCAACATCTGTAAACAAAGGTGTCGATGGAAGCAGCACAGCTGATATTTCTCTCCAGGATGGGGTCAGAGCCAAACAGGAACAGATGAGGCGATACTACTATGAGAAAAAGCAGAGACTGTCATATGTCACAGGTTTTTCTTCCTTAATAATACTTAGAAAGGGAAGGTTTGTATTGGAATCTGTTAACCAATGTCAGAAATAATTTTGTTATCATTTTTCTAAATCAAACATCCATACACACAAAGCAGTATTTAAAACTATTTGATTTTACTTTGCTTCAGGCGGTTTGAATACATTACACTGAGCTGCATTTGATATCAGATGGCACTAAATCTGCTTAAAGTGGTAGAAATGTTAGTCAAACTGCAGCTCTAGTCTAAAGCTTTCTAGAGATTGGTGTTTTGTTCAAGGTCTCCAAACAGCTATTTCTAAATATTGAAATGAATGTAATGTAAATGTCGTAATCATAACTCCCATCTAGAGAATCTCCCTTGGATGGTTTGGCTATTCCTCAGAGATTTAATAACATGTGGTGTCAGGTGAAATATGAACCTGCATAATTGGGCACTCCCAGATTTTCGGCTGCCACAGTTTGCATACGACAGCTACCAGGAATCCGTGCCAGTGTCCAGAGCTTACCCTCCTCGAAAAGTTAAATAACGTTCCTAACGTTCCAAACGTTTCCCACTGCTAATGCGGAGAGGAAGAGGCAGAGTGCATTAAGATGACCTCAGATCAGAGCCGGCTGTCAGTGTGGCCCAACAGGGTCCCTGGAGAACTGCTGTTTCTATTAATTCCCCAAGCTCTGGCATGCTGACAGCAGCTGCCTGCGTGTTCAGGCCTGTCCACAGGGAGGTCAGCTCCTATATCTCTGACACACGAACTCTGTGATGAGGCTCAATGCTTGGTGATGGTTCTCAGTGATGCTGAGTGCGGAAGTAAGCCAGCGCTGCTTATCGATTGGATCGATGGCTGGATCAAGTTGTGGAATAGCAGAGCATGTCATGTATCATATAACATCTTGCAGAATATGAGGGTGAACTTGTGGTGGCAAGTATGCCGAGTATTGTTGAAAGGATGAACACAATCTTTAGATTTTTAATAAATTAAATGTCTTTGACCAAGAACTGTAGTATCATAATTTTGTTAACAAATCATAATGAAGGCCTTTATTGAGGTCAGTGAGGCTAATGTATATCCTAATGATATTTAATTTACAGATAAAGCCTTGATGATGTGAAAAAATGTCTACATCCTCGTTTTTAACCAAGTAATTCAAAGTGTGCAGGAAGGCTGCTTTTCTTTTTTCTTTTGTTTTTTACTGGGATTGAAAAAAAAAACAACTTCTTAAGATGTAGTAGGGAAACAAGTGAAAGCTGATGTTATATACGATGTTTAATTGTTAGTTAGGGCTGATTGATAAATCGATTTCATTGTGTAATTGTATTTTCTGTTTATGAAGATCTGGAATTTTTTTCCACCAATGCATTCCTTAAGCTTCCATAGTTATCGACATAAATTCCTCACTTATTGTTCTTAGATGTGTTCTCATAACTGCTGTGATACTCCACACATAATATGGGTTATATTTCACTGTTTGTTTTGAATCATGATTGTTTTACAAGTCTGTTTCACATCTTGAATTTAGTTGCCCTTTAAATTAAGGTCACAAAGGCAAGTTTTTTAAAGTAATGTATGTCATTGCAACATATATTTTTTTGTTTTAATAAAACATGAGAGAGAAAACAAAACTGATTATTTGGTAGGAGAAAATGGGATTGATTTTTAAGCCATATAACCTAGCCCAAGTGTTAGTCATTCAGTGTCAGGTATTATAAACACTCTTTGAAATCACCGCGTTAACCCAGTGCGGCCCTCTACAACACCGCTGGTCAGACGTACATCTACTCTTGTGCTCACCACTCTCCCTCCTGCTCTATTCCGTTTCTCCTTTTTTAAATTCTCTCTTCCTTAAAGCTATATATATATCTATGAGTAACCAATATTGGTATGTAAACTATCTCAGTCCTTATGAATCTTCTGGATTAGTTTTAATAGTTATGACTAATGTATTCTTCCTGCTGTTCATTATTTGATCTGATTTACTACACAAGCTGAGTGTGCTGGTATATAAATGTGAAGCAGAGTGGGAAATAGGATATCAGGAGTGTGGGAATAGTAAGCAGCTGGTTGATTTTGAAACAGTTAAGATCTGTTAATGTGTGCTTTTCTATTCCCCATTTTTTGTTTATCTTAGTTTAACTGGGATGATGGGGCAGTTTAGTACAAAGGAAGTATTTCTTTTTTCTTTAGACCAAACCATAATGTTCTCTTTATTTTAGGCGGGGAGTTAATGGGACTTTGACCAACTTAGTAAGATATTTATTAGTCCCTCAGAAGAGTCAAACATTTAAATAATCAAGTTAGGATCTGATTATAATCTGTGTATCGACCAGCCTCTTCATTACCAATTATTTTATACAATTCATTTAATGACCAAGGGTGAGCCTTGGCATGGGTGTTGCGATACGACAATATGATATTATCACAATATTGCAATATCCCTACATATTGTGATATTTTTTCTTGCTCTCAAAATTACATGTTTAGATAAAAAAGCAAGTGGTGTGTTTATTCATCAGAAAATGTTGATCATTTAGTTGTTTTGGTTTCCATGGTGTTTGGGGTTTGAGTCAGTCCATGTCTTCCTCTGTGTCTGTCTCAACTACTGATACTGAGTGGCTTTGCAGAGGTAGCCCATTTTCCCTCATATTTTTTAGGTAAAATGTTTTGTTTCTTAGAAATTAATATAAGGAACTGAAAGATCGATACTATATCGGGCAGCTGAAAATAACAACATATCGCCAAATCAATAATGACATGACTCGAACAGAGAAAAAAAAAAAAAAACATTATGTAACAAGAAACAGCATTTACAAAATGCTTCCTACTGTTATGTGGCTGAACAAGCAACTGTTTTCATAACTACAGACACACTACACTACACACATTTGCCGATCATGATTTGCAGATTGTCTTGGAGGTCTGACCTACTCGTTTCCATTTTTTTGTTTTGATTTGCTTTAATGGAACAACTGCATTATAAATGTTGATTTTAGATGATTAGACTGTGCTAAAAGATATTATTATGATGTGTCTTTCTTTTTCTTAAAAAAGTTTATCTACATGCAGGGATAGTCCCACAAATACTA